GAACAGCAATAAAGATCACACAACAGAAGTGTGCTCTCTCTCTCTCCTTACTGTTAAATAACTTGTGCATTGGTTTTCTCACTTGTTTTGACACATCCGACCAAACTACAAAGTTTCCAGTGATGTTTGTGAGAAAGGGATATTCACTCTCGACATCTGTGCCGCCGCGCGCTCAATCCACTCATTGTGCTTTGCTTATCAGCTCGCGCACATCAGCTATACAGGCATGAATATTGAATGTTTAACATTATATTAATTGCATACGTATACCTTGTAGACATCCTTAATCTCTAATAACTCCATTCTTCTCTCTGTTGTTCTGTTGTCGGCGTTTCTTTGTCTGAACACGAGTACAGGAGTGCAGTTATAATACCTAATAATTATTATAATTGTAATATTATATAAATTGTAATAATTATCTAAAATGATATTAAAATAAATAAATGATGTGTACTAAAAAGTATATTTCACTTTCTTTATATACTTTTTACATTGAATTCAAATGGTGCTGTATTTGAAACTTTCACTTTTACAAAGCCTTATTTTGTGCATAAATATATAATTCATTTCAATTTATTTCAAAATGTTTTTTACTTGCATGTAATATTGAATTTTATTTCATACTGTATAAAATAAAATATATTACTAGTAGTAGTGTTTTCAATGTTTGTTTAATATACATTACATTTTTAACAAGGCCATTCATATCCTCCTGACTACCAGGAAAAAACAGTTTTGTGAATTTAGTATTTTGTCATGTCATTACATTGTTTAGAGCATAACAAATAAAATCGGGACATCGGGACTTTAAAAAGTCCTGTTTTTAAAAAAATAAAAAGACATGAATAAACATGAAAAGGCAAAAACAGTGGGATTTTTGTTTTATTCACAAATCAATTTTAATTTTTTACACCAAACTTTATATAAAGATGATTCTCAACTATGTTATGAAATATATTTTTAAAAAACGTTTTTCTTTATGAAAAATGTGTGTAAAATGGCCATAAACGAGTTTTTCCATTATATACAATGTATCTATAAACTGTACCTAATTTGCATATTAATGCGTTTTTGGGGCAACATAGAATGAACAAATAAGTGCAATAATGGGAGTAATAATTAGCAAGATTTTCATAATAATATCTAATATTTAATAGGAATATTGATACATAATTTTTTCTCTATTCATCTGTTGTGTCTCCCAAAATGTGTAATAAACATGCTTTAAGTCCTGGTGTCCTCTACAGTGGACATGAATGGGTATGAAATCGATGTTCTGTTTCATAACAGAAGCTCATATTTTGATTTGAAACCCCATAACATTTTCCTGGGATGTTGATTCATGACAAACAATTTGAAAATTAGTCAGATTTAAATGATAATTGCAAAATATTATCATATTTAAGCAAATAAATATTTCCTTCAGTTATTTTCACACTTAATTATGCCCATTAAAATGTATTTTACAAGTTTTTGTTACTTTCACTGTTCATTTTTTTGCTCTATGGTACTTCATCTTTAATTTAATAGCATTACAGCTGCTCCATTGCAGCGCCTCAGTACTGTAATCACAAGACATTTTGCTGTAATAATGCTGGGAACCATTCGTTATATATAAGTCTTATAACTGTGATGAACATATTTTCAGAAATATAAATCGTGTTTTGTTTTTGTTTTTTTTTATCTGAAACGTGCTGCGACTTTTATTCCAAAGCGCCTCATATAATGCACAACACTCATGAAGCAAGCAAACATGCGCAACACGCGCACACATTTGTATTGGTGCAGAATGAGAGAGACGGGTATAGCCTAGTGCATTTCACACAGCCTGCTAGTTTCACTTTCGCCATAAAGTCATGTAAGCTTGAGGTTTAAAATAAATGTTGTTTATAGTGAATGCCCCTATAATTTTTGTTTTATATTTATGATTTAGTTTTAATCCAAATAATGCGTGTGCTAAAGCGAACAGCAATAAAGATCACACAACAGAAGTGTGCTCTCTCTCTCTCCTTACTGTTAAATAACTTGTGCATTGGTTTTCTCACTTGTTTTGACACATCCGACCAAACTACAAAGTTTCCAGTGATGTTTGTGAGAAAGGGATATTCACTCTCGACATCTGTGCCGCCGCGCGCTCAATCCACTCATTGTGCTTTGCTTATCAGCTCGCGCACATCAGCTATACAGGCATGAATATTGAATGTTTAACATTATATTAATTGCATACGTATACCTTGTAGACATCCTTAATCTCTAATAACTCCATTCTTCTCTCTGTTGTTCTGTTGTCGGCGTTTCTTTGTCTGAACACGAGTACAGGAGTGCAGTTATAATACCTAATAATTATTATAATTGTAATATTATATAAATTGTAATAATTATCTAAAATGATATTAAAATAAATAAATGATGTGTACTAAAAAGTATATTTCACTTTCTTTATATACTTTTTACATTGAATTCAAATGGTGCTGTATTTGAAACTTTCACTTTTACAAAGCCTTATTTTGTGCATAAATATATAATTCATTTCAATTTATTTCAAAATGTTTTTTACTTGCATGTAATATTGAATTTTATTTCATACTGTATAAAATAAAATATATTACTAGTAGTAGTGTTTTCAATGTTTGTTTAATATACATTACATTTTTAACAAGGCCATTCATATCCTCCTGACTACCAGGAAAAAACAGTTTTGTGAATTTAGTATTTTGTCATGTCATTACATTGTTTAGAGCATAACAAATAAAATCGGGACATCGGGACTTTAAAAAGTCCTGTTTTTAAAAAAATAAAAAGACATGAATAAACATGAAAAGGCAAAAACAGTGGGATTTTTGTTTTATTCACAAATCAATTTTAATTTTTTACACCAAACTTTATATAAAGATGATTCTCAACTATGTTATGAAATATATTTTTAAAAAACGTTTTTCTTTATGAAAAATGTGTGTAAAATGGCCATAAACGAGTTTTTCCATTATATACAATGTATCTATAAACTGTATCTAATTTGCATATCAATGTGTTTTTGGGGTAACATAGAATGAACAAATAAGTGCAATAATGGGAGTAATAATTAGCAAGATTTTCATAATATTTTATAGGAATATTGATAATTTTTTCTCTATTCATTTGTTGTGTCTCCCAAAATGTGTAATAAACATGCTTTAAGTCCTGGTGTCCTCTACAGTGGACATGAATGGGTATGAAATCGATGTTCTGTTTCATAACAGAAGCTCATATTTTGATTTGAAACCCCATAACATTTTCCTGGGATGTTGATTCATGACAAACAATTTGAAAATTAGTCAGATTTAAATGATAATTGCAAAATATTATCATATTTCCATAAGGGTGTTACACTTGATCACTAAATTTATGTCAGCCATTTTTAAAGACCAAGGAGAGGGAGTGGTCATGGTGTAACATCCAATCATTTGGTATCTCTGAAAAGTCCCATCCAAAACTCAACGTCATCAATTGAGGCAGAAGCTGACGCATGGGGCCGCTCAAACAAACAGATCAGTGTTTTAAAAGCATCATGGTATTTCCCTTTTCAGGACGTCAAACTATTAATGACTGACTTACAGTGACTCCTTAACCCGACACACTAAAAACATCCAGAAAACAACATGCTTCAACTTTAAACCTCATGATCAGGAGAGAGTCTTCCTGCAGAATTAAACTACCTTGCTTCCTGAAGCTGCATGTATTGTGCGGCATGCTAACAGACTCTCTCTCTGACTCTGTCCCTCGTTTGCATGCAGTAGTTGATGATTCACAGAGTCACGGCAAACCAGACGCTGTCTCTTTAAATATTGCTGCTAGCTCTGTGATTTGTTGTTGTTGGCGTAGTGTTTTGCGTCGCTCTCTGACTCCTCACGGCTCTCGGCAGAATCACAGCATTCAGAAAGAAAGCAAAGCAAATGAATGGCCGTGACGTGCTCCTGGGGTTTGCTGATGCCCATCCTGCTGCTCATCTGAGGTCAAAGGTGGCTTCTGATGAAATAAAAGGAAAAGACGTGGGTGTAGCAGTCGTTTCAAAATGCTGTCATTTAGTTATTAGTTTAGTTTAGTTAGTCATTTTGTTAGAATGTGGATCTTGTCCTTATTAATGGATGCTCAAGGTTGCACCCAAGTCTTTTATTTTATTTTATTTTAATTTTCATTTTTTCACAACATTGCCATGGGTTCCTGCAGTCAAGAAAGACCTGGAAACACCAGGGCCTGAAAACGGCCTGAAAATATTATTAAAATCAATAAACTCTTAAAAAAAAATCTTGAAATTTATATAGAAAGTGTTTTTTTTTTCTTAATAATGCACAGCTCTCATAATATTCATATTAAGCTCAAATTCATTTTTTATGATATTATACTACCGGTCAAAATTTGTCTTTTTTTTTTTTTTTCATGGCAGCATTTATTTGGTCAAAATACAGTAAATATTTTAAAATTGTAAAATATTATTACAACTTAAAATAACTGTTTTCTATTTGCATATATTTTAAATGTAATTTATTCCTGTGATGCAGTGCTGAATTTTCATTGCTTAACTTCTGAAGGATCATGTGACACTGAAGACTGAAGTAATGATTCTGAAAATTCAGCTTTGCATAACGGGAATAAAATACATTTTAAAGTATATTCACATAAAAAATAGTTTTTTGAATTGTAATAATATTTCACAATATTATATATTTTTTATCAAATAAATGCAGCCTTGGTGAGCAAAAGAGACTTCTGTCATTAAGTATTAATTATTCCTTATAACTTAATTGGTACAAACAACTGGAAAGGTAACACGTTTGCATATAATAATGAATGAAAGTTAAAAATAGACCCGCTTGTGTCTAGCATTCATTTCTTCAAGCGTAAAACTTTTTTTTTTTTTTTTGCAAATGGAGACAAATGACTTTATGACTAAAATGACATCAAATAATGTTTTCTCATTGAAGTGCTCATCCATCCTCTGTTTCGCTCTTCATTTTCTAAAGGTCATCTCTCCAAACTGTCATGAAGATGTGACGTTGAAGAAAGACAACGTTTTTGTTCGCTCCTTCAAAGATGGAAAATTGTGAGTAACTTTCAGATGAAGTTATTTCAGTCCGTGCTTCTACTTTTAGCGCTCGAGCTGCAGAAAAGTCAAGCTATGAAAGCGGCACGCGTGCTTTTATTTCACAGCATTGTGTCTGTTTATAGCTGTGATTTTACAAAACGTCCATTAAATGTGGCAGAAAGCAGAAAGCTAAAAAAACGAGGAAAGATGCCACCGCTGGGCATCATGTAATGAAGACAGTCAGAGAATATTGTAGTTAAACGCCCGTCTCAGATTAACCTTCTGAAATCAATTTATACTGTCGCTGCCGAAGGCATTCAAGCGTTATGCTGAGAAATGTCTGCTTATGGAGATATTATTTTTTTAAACCTGTGAGAACTGCCAATATACAGACCGGAGCTTCTGATGATTCAATAACTAGACAGATCATTTATAATGTCGTGCTTCTATGGATTGACAACAGTCTCTAAATTGTCTGGATGCTGGTAATCAGTTGCTAAGGTGCTCTGATTGGGGTTGCTAGGGTGGTTACTAGGTGGTTGCTTAGTCCCTAATATGTCATTTATGATTTTGGTGCATTAACAAACACAGATAATAACATCTCAAGCTTCATGTATGAAAATGTCATAAAACACACACACACACACAGTTCTGCTGACGAATATTTTTGTGGAAACCGTGATACATTTTATTTTTCAGGATTCTTTGATGAATAAAAAGTTCAAAAGGGCAGCACTTATTTGAAATAGAAATCTTCTGTAACATTATAAATGTCTTTACTGTCACTTCAGATCAATTTAATGCATCCTTGCTAAATAAAAGTATTGTTTTCTATAAAGCACTTTTGAACTGCAGTGCATAAGTGTTATTTCACAATGAAAGGCTTGTGAGTTGCACAGGTTACCTGTAGCGCTGGGTTTCTGTACACATCTTCACTGCTCCCTCTAGTGTCGGCCACGGCATAGTAATGACATCACTGGCCCATGTAGATTTCTAAATATTCATGAACAAAGACGTCTGCTAGCTAATAATCACCTCTTAATTCCCTCAATAAAGCAGCTGCTGAAGGTCTGTGACTTCATGCATCCACTAAAAACCACCAAAACAGCAGCTGATTCAGAGTTTGAGCACACATGCAGTAATAAATAACATCTTGATATTTCAGCTATGATTTTTAGGTGTCCAAATGCCTTTAAGGGGATGTTGGATAATGTTCTTATTCGGTTGCTAAGGTGCTCTGGATGGTTGCTAGGGTGTGAGACTTACTGATTGGTTGCTTTTCCGAATAAAAAGAGCCACATTTCATATCTGATGCCGAGAAATGGCCTGTTTCTTAATTACTTGCTGTTTTCCCAGGATAAAGGTTTTGGTATTAAATTTGGTGCATTTTTTTTAAGAAACAGTGTGATGATGCTGATTTGGTGGATGTCTGGAATAAATTCTTAAAGTAGTACATTCATGTTTTTGCAAGCAATTAAATGCAATAAAAATTGTAATCGATACTCAGTGACAAGCACAATGGCTGTTCTATACAGCAGTGTGTTGAACTCTGTGATGTATCATATGTGATGAATCACTGCTAACAGTGTTGTATTTGATCTTATAGTTACACAGTTTTGTGGAAAGACATTCGAGTGCTGGATGAAGAGAAAGCTCCTAAAGCGGACGCAGGACTCAGACCAGGTGAGAAACAGTGTGACGCGTGGATCAGTGTGTATTCAGGGCAGGGGTATTATCATTAAATAAAAAATATTTTCATTGCTTGGAATAAAATAAACATTTAGTGAAATAAAATGTATATAAAAATAAGTGAATATATAACAATATTTTATTTCAGTTTTTTGTAGTTTAAGTGGAAGTGCTAAATAAACTAAAACTAAAAACTACAACTTACTAATATATATATATATATATTAATTTAAAAACTATAGACATACTTAAAGGGGTCATATGATGAGATTTCAATTGTTCCTTTCTCTTTGGAGTGTTACAAGCTCTTGGTGCATAAAGAAGATCTGTAAAGTTGCAAAGACTAAAGTACAATAATGTACAGTATGTGGAAAATAATGTTTTTTGAACCTTAAACCGCATAAACATTTCATTACACAAAATAATGTTCTTTTTAGCAACATCATATGACCCCTTTAATAAAATAAAATAAAAATAACAAAATACTAATAAAAATGACACAAATGCACAACAAAATTATCAAAATTTTAAGCAAAATTAAAATGAAAACACAAGAAAATAAAAAAATAAAATCTAATTCAAAATATTAACAAAAAATACACACTTTTCATTGGTCATTTAATTTTTTGAAATGTGACTTATGCACCAATGCAACTTATCTCTTTTTTTTTTTTTTTTTTTACTCTCAACAATGCTTTTTTGACCCGATGTACACAATATGCATATTCTGCCATAAACATAATATATATGTTTTCTATATACATAATCAACAACTTTAAATCAATTATTTTTATATTTATTCAATTTGATTGACATTTGCAAAGCTTCATGGGATTGTAGTTCTTTCCCCCATTAAAGCTGTGAAGTACAGAGTCTTGTATCTCTTTCTTTTTGTCCGATTTTCAAATACTTTTTTGCTTTAATCAAAGTTTGTAATGTTATATTTCGCCTTGTAGCTGCTTAGTTTGGTTCATGGCTTATAACTCTTTAACAAATACTTTTTTTTTTTTTTTTTTTAAATCCCTATGGAGAGAAAGAATGTGAAAAATACTTCCTAAACCAAGGCCTCTGAAAAGTGGTCGGCCGGAAAGTTGAAAGTGGAAATAAATTACGCACTAAACAAGGTATTTCCAGTCACATGCAGCTCGTTCTAATCCCATTCTCTGTGTTTGTGTTTCACAGCGTTAGATGCAGCGTGGGATTTCCAGCGTAACGGCACTGTGCCCAACACGTGGAGGACGGAGGTGAAGGATGAAAGCTCCAGCAGTGAGGAAGAGGAGGAGGAGGAACAAGAGGAAGAGGCCAGCAGCGAGGAGGAAGAGGTGACTGCAGCATTTATAATCATAAAGCATGTGCTGGGGAGAAAAATGGCCCTTTGTTTGGTTTGACATCACTCAAATATTCAAAATCTATGGAAGCTTGTTTTCGCCACCTGATAAAAAAAAAAAAAAAAGTCATTGCAATTTTTTCCCCTCACTTTTCTGTCAGATATAAGATATAAACTCAAAACTGCAAGATAGAAACTTAGAATTGTAATTGTGAGGTGTAAACTTGCAATTTCCTGAGTTAATTTGGAGTTTAAAAAAGTATGTGAGATAAAACCTTGGAATTGTGAGTAAAAATGTCAATTGTGAAAACTCTGAAAACATGTTATCTTATATTTTGTGGCAGAAATAAAAACAGTTGCGAGATGTAAGCTCACAATTGTGAGGGAAAAGTTATTTTGAGATAAAAATTACCTTTTTAGTTTTTTATTTGGTGGCACAACTCCCCAATGAATTCTGTGGAAAAAGACTTTCCACTTAATTGTAAGACATTAAACTTGAAATTACCTTTTTTTATTTTACATTTTATGGTAAAAAAAAAGAAAAGAAACTGAATTACTGGATGTAAACTCAGAATTGCAAAAAAAAAAAAAAAAAGTCAGAATTGTGAGGGGGAAAGGTTGCTGTTACATTTTTTTAATTTTTATTCTGCGGCAGAAACAAAACAAAGCAAAAAAAATGAATTCTGAAGGGGAAAAGTCAAAATTGCAAGGTAAAATTCTAAATTATTTTTTTTATTTTACAATTTGTGGCAGAAAAAAATGAATTTCAAGGTATAAACTCATAATTTTGACAAAAAAATAGAACTGCAAGATGTAAACCTGCAATTGCAGAAAAGTCAAAATTGTGAGATACAAAATCAGGAATTTTGAGATCAAAAGTAGCAATTAGCTTTGTTTATTCTGTGGTAGGAAAAAACACCATAATGAACTCTGAGAAGAAAAGTCGGAAATTGTGAGACAAAAAATGAAAATAGCGAGAAAAAAAGTTAGAACTCTGAGGAAAAAAGTCAGAATTTTGAGATAAAAATTAAAAATTACCTATTTTATTTTGTGGTAGAAACAAAATAAATAAATAAAATGAAACTCAGAATGAAGTCTGAGAAAAAAAGTCAGAATTGAAGATATAAACTGGAAATTACTTTTTTTGACAGAAAAACATTTTAATTTGCGATATGTAAACTCACAGTTCTGAGGGAAAAAAGTCTGAATTGTAATATAAGATTTTATTTTTTTTTATTCTGTGGTGCGAAACAAGTTTCCATACACACTGAATGCGATTGAATGGGGAATCTGCTGAAGCGCAGCACTAATGTTTATGTTCGGGTGAGCTTTCACTCTTACAGCACGAGCTCCTGTCATCAGCCGTCTGTTTACCTTGATTTATTGACCACAAAATATCACCTTTAGAGTTTAAGTGGCGTATTTAGTGATAGATGAACAGCTTGTGCGTGTGATGACAGGTTTCGCTGTTACTCAGACTTGTGACGGCTGACGTGTGTGTGCAGTCAGAGTTACATAAACTAGATTACAGAGGAAAAACACATCGCAGCCAGACAGTTTTCATAACAGTGTTTTAAGAAGCTATTTTTTCCAACAAGTAGCAACCAAACATTACATGGCTATCCTTTTATGTGCAGCTTTACGAATTATGCAGCTGCTTGTTGTCTCTTGCAAATGAATCACTGGAGGTCTGATTCATTTAAGCAAATCGGTTCATTTAATTGATTCTTTTCAAAAAATGAGACACTGAATCATTTGAGCCCTCGCCCACCATTGTATGCTTGGGTTGAGCATCAGAATAATTAGTTAAACCCTGTTATTTATCCCTGTTTTCAGCTTAGTTATTTTGATTGGGGTGTTTTTGTTTTATTTTGTTTGTGTTATTAGTTAGTTTTTTGTTTTTTTTTGCCATTTTCTGTGTTATATATTGCTGTTTGGGGTCGGTACTTTTTAGAATTCTAGAATTTTTTAGAATTAAATTTTATTAGGTAAGGATGCATTAAATTGATTAAAAGTCCGTAAAAACATTTTATAATGTTACAAAAGATTGCATCACAAAACTATGAAGCAGCACAACTGTTTTCAACATTGATAATAATCAGAAAAGTTTCTTGGGCAGCAAATCAGCATATTAGAATGATTTCTGAAGATCATGTGACACTGAAGACTGGAGTAATGACGCTGAAAATTCACAGCAATAAATTGCATCTTACAATATATTCAAATAGAAAACAGCTATTTTAAATTGTAAAAATATGTCACAATTTTTACTCTATTTTTGATCAAATAAATGCAGCCTTTAGATATTCAGTTATTTGCAAAGGCAACATATATAATTTTCATTTAGATTAAGCTGAAGCACTAATTACAAACTGGACATAAAATAAAAACTAAAACTGATTATAATAAAAATGATAAAAAATGAAATGCAAAATATAAAAAATATTTGTAAAAAATTAAAAATAAAATAAAAAAATGTGAAAATGAATTAAACCTTAAATAATAGCATTAAAAAAATAACACTAATAATAAAATAAGACAAGTGCAAAAGTCATTTACTAATTGTAACAAATTAAAATTAAATCTGAAATTATAAAAGTATAAAAACCATTTCAAAACATTAATAAAAACTGCAATAGTATATAAAAAATACTAAAATAATGCCGCCTCGCTCAAAGCCTATAGCGCCACCAGCATTTCAAAGTTTCATGCTAATTTTAGCTTATCGTTTTTTAACTAAATTGCTCAATTTGGATCAGATCATCTGAAGACCTTTCTGGTCAATTTATTATTGATATACCTGTCAGCAATTAGGTGGTTTAAGGTGCAGTGATGATAAGTTGACCATAGTTTTACATCATGTGACGAGGTAATCTGTGATGTTGAACCTCCTGCAGGTATCTGTATGGCTTTGAGGACTTCTGCGCCTCCACGGGAATCACCTTCCGCATGGATCTGCCGTATAAGACGGCCGAGAAGACGAGCTCAAAGAGCGATGTGAACGCGGAGGAAACGGCCAGTGGCGGAAACGCTGTCTCTTTAAGCACATCCAGCGCAGGAGAAGAGCAGAAAGCCCTCAAAGAACCAGAGACCTCCAGCACGCAGCATGTGGTCAAGGTACTGAAGCATCGTCTCAGGGTGTGTCTGATACGGCAAACTAAACATACGTCTCATGCTGCGTCTGTGCTGCATGCATTGAATACACAACGATTATCTACTGCATCCTCAGTTATACTTCACATATTTTCAGATAATTTTCAAACAGCTGTATAATTTATCATTTATTTTATAAATATGTGATTTAATACAAGATCACATTTGATTAAAATGTGAAAAAATAAATATATATTCACACTTTTAATCAATTATATAGATATATATACATACACACATTTTTTACATATTTTATATTTTATAAATATATACATATTCCATTTATATTTATATTCCATTTATACAAAAATATATGAATGGAGAATAATTTTTATTGAAATTGATTTATTTATGAAGCTGGATTAAAATTAATTTATTCTTATATATATTATATATATATATATGTTTTAATCGGATACCTCTCACTAATTTAAATAGCAGGCAGCATTACTGGAAGTATTTACATGTAATTACTTGTAATTACATAAAAATGATAATTCACAGCAATAAATTGCATCTTACAATATATTCAAATAGAAAACAGCTATTTTAAATTGTAAAAATATGTCACAATTTTTACTCTATTTTTGATCAAATAAATGCAGCCTTGGTGAGCAGAAGAGACTTCTTTCAAAAACATTCAATCTTTCTTACCATAAACGTTTGAACGGAAGTGTATATTTGTAAAGATATCGTCCACTTAAATAGCTTCAGTGTACTTTTAACTACTTTTGGTTAGTAGCTCGTAGTGTAGCTTAACTAGTTTTTTTAAAAGCACCTTTGAATGACACCCAACTCTCTGTGTGTGTGTTTCCTGTACGCAGGAGGAAGTAGAGCCGTTCCCAGAAGAGAAGGACAACTTCCTGCAGCAGCTTTACAAATTTATGGAGGATAGAGGTGAGCAGTGTTATTTCAGTGTTATTTTTTATACTATTGTAGTTTAATATCTTAAGTTTGTTTTAGTCATGTGCTTGTCATAAAGCTTTCATTTTCATTTCAGTTTTAGTTCTTCAACTTTTTTTTCATCAAGTATTTTTTATTTTATTTTACTTAGCTCTAGCGGTCAAAGGAGTGCTTGATGATATGCATATCTTGAAAGTCACTCTGTATAAAGCATCTGCCAAATGCATTAATGTTTAAGAGGTTTCTTTGCTGTTCTGTTCAGGAACTCCTATCAATAAGCGACCGGTGCTGGGCTACAGGAATCTCAATCTTTTTAAACTCTACAGGCTGGTGCATAAGCTCGGAGGATTTGACAAAGTGAGTTTTATTTTATTTGACACGGTCTGCTGCTCCGTCTGTATTAGCTTTGACTCGTGTTCCTCCCTGTGTTTCAGATCGAGAGCGGATCTGTCTGGAAGCAGGTGTATCAGGATCTGGGCATCCCCGTGCTCAACTCCGCAGCCGGTTACAACGTCAAATGTGCTTACAGAAAGTACGTGCATCCTTCATAAGCCCCTGACGACAGTGACAGCAAACCGTGAGCTGCTCATTGTAAAAAGCTTGAGAAGAACAAGCACTGAATGCACCTGTTCTGTCTCTTAGCGCAGAACCGTTGCAAGATGTGGCACACGTCTTCTATCCAGGGTTATTATTGTTGTTTACTACAACTATTAAAACAGTTTTGTTCATTGAACTAAAGCTTAAATAAAATAAACTATAAATATTAAATGAAAATCTTCAGTTCAGTTATTTTCCAAGGCAACATTTATCGTTTTTATTTAGTTTAAGAAGCATTAATTACTAGCTGGACATTAAAAAAAAAGCTAAGAAAAATTATGAAGAAAAAAAAACGTATAATAAAAATATAAATATTAGATGAAAACTTAAGTTCAGTTATTTGCCAAAGCAACAAACTTTTTAGTTTTGTTTAGTTCAACTTTGAAGCACTAATTACTAAATAGACATACAATAAAAACATTAAAAAAAAAATAA